GACATGTCAGAAGCTCCTGAAGTGCAGTAGCTGGAACACACCTGATTAGTTGCCAGAGTGAAGGGAACCATGGGATTGTAACAACCCAAAAATCCATACACTAAAAATATCAACTACAAAATTTTTCTTAGAACTCCCATGTGATGATGAGTGTCATGTATAGAAACCCAATCTAAGAGATGCATTAGGTCTAACTCCAACCCAAGTTAACACATAAGCATGGCATGTCATTAGTTAATTGTGTTTATTTAAATTCTAACAAATAAAGTATTGCACACATTGTTAATTCAAAATGTGATTTGGATTTCCATTTGAGTTATGATATGCTTAACAACTCTAATAAAGTAATAAACCATAAAATAATTAATACTCAAACCAAAGAATAAAGGTTTAAAGAGAAAAACTAATTCTATTTTTGTATAACAAAACAACACCTATTTTTGTTATACAAAATAGCTAAATAGATTCCTAATACTTATATAAGAATGTTGTGGGCCTCATATCAAAAACTCCAATGAATAAGGTGCACCAAATTGGAATTCAAATTTCAAAACCAAATTTGAATTCAAAACCACGCAGGCACCGGCTGCCCGATAGGGTCACGCACAATGCATGACCACTGTCGCGCGCCTGCCATGGCCATGGCTGAGCCATGCTCTTGCCCCCTCCCTGTCCCCCACCTTCTCGACCACAGAGCACGGATTCGATTTCGCCATCGCACCCACGATCGCGTCGCGACCCCGTAGCCCTAGCCTCGACGCGATCACAGCCCTCCGCGCGCACCTGGCCATCTCCAGCCGCTCGTCCATGCCGTGGCCGAAGCTCCGGCTACAAAAGCCTCGGCCCGGGAGCCCCTAGCGCCCTTCCATCGCCCCGCCGCCACTTGTGGCCATCCACCAGACCACCCAGCACGAGGGCCGAGGGGAGGAGAAGAACAAAGAAGGCGAAGCCGCTGTCGGGAGGAGGACCGGGAGATCACCGAAGCCAGAGCGGGCGACACCGCACTGCACTGCCTCCGGAGCTACACGGCCATGATCCGCCACCGCACCGCCATCCTATCATCTACGACACCTACGGTGAGCCTCTCGCTGCTGAGACCCCTCCTAGCCCCATGGACGCCGTAGCCGAGCACACGCACGCCACGCTCACGACGCCGCCGCCATGGCGCAGCCACCACCGGCGCACCCGACCACCTCGCTAGACTAGAACGTAGCCGTAGAGCATCACCGTGATGACCAGAAGATAGCCGCGTAGACCAAGTCAATGATAGTCAGCCGCAGCCCCTTGGCCAGAGCACCAGACCACCGGCCAGAGCACCGCCACCACCGGCCAGAGCACCAGACCACCGTGGCCAGTACCGCTGGGAGCGCCTAGCGCCTCCTTGACTCGCCCGCCCTATTCGCTGGAGCCATGGGAAACTCACGCGCCCCGCCAAACACGCTCTTGGCCACCACCACAGCCTGACCATGCCACACCGACGAGCATCGCCACGCCGAGCCGCCAGCCGCCAAGGCCAACGCCCTCGAAGGCCCCGGCCACCACTTAGACCCCAGCATCATGATCGCCGTGGCCTGGGGAAGCTTTTCCCCTCCCCAATTGGACACCAACGCCGCCACGGAGGCTCACCAGTGAGCACGCCATCGGCGGGAGCACAGCCGTGGGAGAAACAGGGGAAACTCCCCTCGCCGGCCGCCCGCGCCTACACCCGGTGTACATGGACCCAGCCAGAGGAGAGAAGGGTGGACTTGGCCCACCATAGACCCTGCCTTAGGTCCATGGACCGTGAACATGGTTCCACCGTGAGCCATGCTCACGCCCACAGCCTGAAAACGAAGCCCAGTAGAGGCCCAAGGACGTGACGTGGCTGCGTCATAGCCTGCCACGTGTCCGGGTCAGCTCGGCCCAGACCGGCCCAACCCGAGCCCACCAAAGCCCGTTTGAGACCCGACCCATGTTGACCGTTGATCGGCCCCACATGTCAGTGACACGGACACTCTGGACCTACATGTCAGATGCTGACGTCACACGGGACCCACACGTCAGAAGCCAACACAGCCAGGGTGACGTCATGCTGACGTCACGATGACATCAGCTGCTGACGTCAGCAGCCCTGGCCCCACACGTCAGTGACCCTGACCGTTGACCGTTGACTCACCGTTGACTGACGTTGACTTTGACCGGACCCACATGTCAGTGACCCAAGAGCCCCTGGACCCATCTGTCGGAACTGATGACGTTGACGACGTCATGCTGACGTCAGCTGGACCCCACCTGCCAGCTCGGAATTGAGACGCTGACGTCATGCTGATGTCAGCGTGCCACGTGGACCAGCCACTGCGTGACATGTGTCAGCCCAGGATTAATTCAGCCTTTTGTCTAATTTCAGAAATGATTTAAACTTCAGAAATTCATAACTAATTCATACGACCTCGGAAAAATACGAAACCAGGACCAAAATTCATCTAAAATCAAGCTCTACGTAATGAACCAATGTTTAAGTGCATTTGGCTCTTTTGAAATTCCCATTGCTTCTTTGTGCTATTCTATAGACGTCGCTAATGCGACTATAATGCGATCGATGCAGACTCAGAGGAGAACCAGACGGATGAGGATCGTTAGTACCGTGAGGAGAACGAAGACGACTACACTAAAGGTGCCACATCCCACCCAATCTCGTAGCACCTATTACGCATGGCTAATATAGAACTGTTATTGCTTTACTTTACTGTTATAATCATATTATGATAGGACTTGCATGGTAGTATGCTTATTTGGTGGCATTTACCTTAACGCAACCTTACCCCTGCATACCCTGCTATTAGGCTAGACACACGCTTGCTGCTATATTTCATTGCTCATACTTCTACTACGCTTATACTACATTGATGCGTGGTGGAAACTGGTGTTATCTGGACTATGGGGAGAGTGTTGCGTGTGTGACTTGGGTGTGTGGAGGGTGAGGGTTGTGTCGACCAAGTTGGAGTATACGACGAGCCTGGGGCAAGTCTTGCCATGGGGTGCTACCTGGGCACCCCTGGAAATGGATACCTGTGGTGGGTAAATGGTATATGAGGTGGTCCTGGGTGTGAACCTGTGACGGGAGGAGCCCGGGATGGAGGTGTTGTGGTGGCATGGTAAATGGAAACCCTGATGGAGACATTCTGGCTTGGTCACCCCTAAGGACTTACTAGTACTCAGATTCACCGGGAAACCTTACGTACCACTCGCCCTATATGGTGCAGGACGGCCGGACTACTTGGTAAGATATTGCCACTACTGCTAGGTTGATAGCGGACAGTGTAAGGAGGTACGGGGCGTGAAGGATTTCCCCACCCTTCCGAGACTTCATGGAGACCTTGTGGACCCGGCTCATGACTCACAGTTTCAGCCACCCCAGACTAGACTTGGGGTGTACCAGGGCTGAATGATAGAGTGGCATTATCCTAGGATAGCAAGCGGCCGGAATCAGTCCAGTTGACGACGGTCAGCAAGGAAGGTGGATCTTGTGGTTATGTAAAACCTCTGCAGAGTGTATGGTTGATCGATCGATACATGTGCCGACTTGTCAGCTATGGACCTTTCCTGGGTTTCGCTTAAACTAGATAGAGAGATGAGTCCTTCTCTTCTTCCCCCGTGAGAGAGTGTCGGTCGTAGCCAGGGGCTACGGGCCTTGAGACAGTGCCGAGAGAGAGTTGGCCTGTCGACTGAGCGATGGTATGGTTATGGTATGGTGATGGTGGTGTATCGATCCCAGGATCGAAACCTGACTCTAGAAAGGGAATGGAGTGGAATGTGTGTGGGAATGGTGTTAAAACTTGACTATACTTTTATATATACTTGATATGCTAAATAAATAGGAAACCCTAGCCTTATAGGTTCCTTTTGACTATATCCAACTTGCATCCAATTTCCACAAAGCAATGCTCATAGGGTTGGGAGTGGCCAGTACAAATCGTACTGATAAATTTTGGCACACAGGTTCTGCTGAGGAGTATAGCTCCGAGGAGTTTGACGGATGAGGGGTTCGTACCTATGCTCGAGTTTGGCGATCTTATCTTCAAGCTGTCCTGAATGAATGCTACTTTTGATTCCGCCAATGCGGCGATGTAATAATTTATGTAATTCCGCACTATTTGTACTCTGATATTATCGTTGTATGAATGTGATATTCGACTGGAATTTGGGTAATATGATCTACAACGGTCTTATTACACTTCGACGCTGTGGATTTCCCCTTCGTGGAAATCGGAGTCGTTTCAGGGGTGTCCATAAATAAGGCCGTGTTTAAAAAAATTTCCCAAAAAGTGCTACAGTAGCTATTATATCGAATCTTGCGATACGTGCAGATGAAAAAAAACTAATTGCACAGTTTGGTTGAAAATCACGAGATGAACATTTTGAGCCTAATTAGTTCATGATTGAATACTAATTGTCAGATAAAAACGAAAGTGCTACAGTAGCCAAAATCCCAAACTTCGCCCAACTAAACAAGGCCTAAGTGGAACACCAGCTAGCAGAACCCTCATCCAGTAGATTTAATGATGGCCATAGTTGAGGACGCAGCCCAGCATCACAGCTCACACAATGCAAGAATGTGACCCTACACTTGCCAACTGAACAACTAAGCACAAAAATCACAGATAACTGAAACCACAATCCTTAGCTTTGAGGTGGTGGCCATGGGGGCTTGGACCATATGACATACAGCTCAGTGTCAAAAAGATTACCAACCACTAGTCTGTGCATACCTTGTTCACGGAGCACTTGAGCTTGAGATAGTGGTGGCCACGGTCGCTTGTCAAAGTTGTGGACGACCTAAGCAGACACCCAGGTTGGAGTAGAACTGCTCAGTGCTATGGTCAGCATGGAAGTGAAAACACTGCGGCAATACATCGAACACTTGGTGGGCACGAAGTCAGCAGTATTGCTGGGGCGACGTCGATGCAGAAACCGGCGGAGGCCGACGGAAGCTTCTTGGTGGCCGCGGTGGCGAGCTCGGTTTAGGCGAAGTCGAGGACGGAGTGGTACGACTTAGGGATGTGGCTGATGGTGACGGCGTGCCCGACGACACCAGACACGGAGAGCTGTGATGGCTTGACGGCGAGGATGTACGCAGAGGGGTCGGCGAAGATGGTGAGTGCTCCAAGGCATGTCGCGTCAGACGCCATGACGCCGAGGCGCGTGGCCGTTGGGGCCATCTCGTGGTACTCCAGCGGCGCAAGCACCTTGGCGACTTGCTGAAGGCCGAGGTTGACGCCCGTGCTCGAGGATTCCACCCCCGCAGCGGCGTCGCGGTACGGCTCGTCGACGACGGATGGAGGAGCCGCGGCCTCTGACTCGGACGCTCCCGCCTCGTCAGCCTGCGGCTGCAGCGGCGCGAGGGAGGACGAGTCAAGCCGTGCGGGGTCCGCGGCGTCCGCTGTTGTGCTCTCCTTGAGGAACGGCCCAGTGGTGCGCCTCTCTTGCTCGGCGTGCGCGAAGAGGACCCTGGAGTGCTCGGCCTCCTGCTGCGCGACCTGCGTCTTCTGGATGGCCTGCGCGAACTCTGTGGTGCTCTGGACTACCGAGGTGGTGGCGGAAGGTGCGGGCGTGACCGAGGCGGAGGAGGAGCAGGTGGAGAAGTAGTTGCCCCCGTCGAAGAGCCCACCCCAGTTGTCAGCAACCACCGGTGCGTCAGAGAGATCAAGGTCGGGCACCTCGAGGAAGTCGGCGGGCTGCTCGAACAGCCCACCCCAGTTGTCGGCGACCACCACGCCATCTAACTGTGCAGCAGGGATCCGCTTGGGAATGTCGACGCGGGACTCAACGGCAGCGACCCGCTGCGCCCGTGCGGCTCGGCACTCGGAGTCGCGCCGCTCCCACCGAGCCTTGCTCTCGTCGAGCTTCCTGTTGAACTTCGTTGAAGAGCTTGTGGATTTTGTCGAGAAGGAGTTGGGTAGAAGGCGAGATCTCAGTAGGAACCGAGAATCGATGGCTCTGGTACCAATTGTTAGCTACCGATAGCTGGAATGAGGAGAGCAATAGAGAATTAGAGAACAGCAGAGGAAGTATAGGGTTCTAGATGAAGGAGAAGAACAGACCTTTGTTTTCTGAATATTCCATCTCGTTTCCCCTCCGGCTCCTGTTGCTTTTGTAGTGCTTCGTAGTGTCTCCCTTGGGCCTTGGTTGCGAGGCACATGCTGTCCGGCCCATAAGCCCATGAGTAGTGTGTGGTACGTACCCTTTGGATGATGACGTTTTTCCCCAACGTGGGTATTGCGATCCAGCTTCTATTCGTATTAGAGTTCAGAATATTCAGAAGTACATCGATTACAGCGCCACTGGACATGCTCCACGGCTTATGTTGCCAGAAGGCTTACAGCTGTGTCGGTTGGACAACAGCGCCTCACCCTGGCCCACATGGCAGTGAGCTAGGACAGCCTGCAGGTCGTGTCGTTACAGAGTATAGTAACATTGGAATCCCTGGCTGAAAGTATTTTACTTAAAGGAACCACCTCCAAAAATATGCATGGCATGGAAAGTTGCCAAAGAAACAAAAAAGACATCCGGTCCATGCGAGCAATATTGCGCCGGAAAACCTTGGTTGCGGCTTAAGATGGAATTGCCCGAGACCCGATTCCCCGAGTGACAGTGGCCACCTGCTGGACAGCACCGCTAAAAGCAGCGCGCAAGCTCCTTAATGTATACTCCATGTAGTAGTAGTACCAATAGACACTTAATAAAGTACATCTCAAAGCAATACTAGTATCAAACAAAGGTACACTTATTAGATACAAAATATATGACGGAGGATCACAGAATTGATCCTGAGATGGCCATCCATATAGCAGGCAGTGGATCCAACAACTGGTTTCCGTGAGCTCATCATCGGTGGCCGCAACGTTGTTCAGGTGGATGAGGCCGAACAGAGTGATGGAGTTGCAGGGAGCAGAGCAGGGGAGCACGGCACTTCCTCGGAATGCCATTAAGCTCTCTACCCCAGCAACGTGAGGCGCCGCCGATCGAGGTAGTCATTACTGAAGTTGCACCTTTTAATAAGAAACAAAAGGATATGTCCAGATCCTATAGCAGTCTCTTATGCACCTGATTGTGACCTTATGCACTTCTCTTATGACACCCTTCTTTTTTCCTTGTCATGCTACCAAGTACCAATCAATCAGTCCTAACGAATCTGCACATGCAAATATATATAATGTGTACTAGTTAATTAGCTATGGGTGGTAACTCAACAAAAAAAAAACCTTGTGCACAATGCATATATAAAACAAAATAACCGTTCCCATGTTTAAGCACTTATTACTTAAGGTCTTACTTTCATTACTTTGACACATCATCATCAATATTCTGTTTTCTTTCGACAAAAACAAATGTCTCCTTTGAAATAGTTGTCTTACACTAATCTGTCTCAATGTCTTCGACCAAAGAAACTGGTATAGTGCAGTTGTTCAATTTAGGCATCCTAACTAATTAATCCATGGACGACGAGTGGAGCTTCTGAATTACTTTCTTAATTTTTTCCCTCCTGGTATAACTTTCTCCTACTTTTGTATTCGGCAAGTAAAATAATGTACTGCATGAAGATAATGCAAACAAACTAAAGAGCAGAGTGTGTATATACACTACAATAAAAGATAACTTGGGTGCTGCAAACAAACAGCAACTATATATGTCACCGTATAGAGAAAAACATGAAGGCTGAGATTACAAATTAGATAAAGTGCAGTTGATCTGCATGCAGTGAACTTACTCGAACATTGCTGATGTGAGCCAGCTTCGTCTTGTTCTCTTCTGATTCACACCACTTCTCCAGTTCCGTGCAATAACTTATCTCCAGCGTCTGAAGCTTGGTGAGTTGCTGTATGCATGCAGGCAACGACTTGATCTCGGGACATTCATAGATGACTAGGCTTTTAAGAGAGGAGAGGTCGCCCAGCCACTCTGGCAGCGCTGATATGCTATCGCAACATTGCAACGACAACGACTCAAGGGAAGTGAGGTGCCGCATGCTTTCCGGCACGTTTGTCAGGTGACCTCCAAAGATTGTCAACTCTCGGAGGGCAGGGAAGTGGTGGAATAGCCTGATGCTCTGGCTGGAGTCGTCCTTTATAGTCAAATTCAATGTGATGGCCCCACTAGAGGAAGAGCAGTGATGACTGGTTATGTCTACCTCCTCCAATGATGAAATAACTTGGTCGCTCTTATATATAATGCAATCACGAAATGTTGGTGGGCATGGCTTCAACCTTAACCTCGGACAATGTTGTATCAGCAGATGGTCCAGCACAGGGAACATGAACTCCTCCACACCATCCTCAACACAGTATGTTGTGTTCCACTCCTCCAAGCCATGCATATGTATGACTCGGAAGGATGACAATCGACGGAATGCTCCTTTGCCACCACAAAATTCACTGTCGATTCTTTTAATGCCAGGCAATTCCCGGAGAGCCAGATTTTCTAGGTGTGGTAACTGCCCAAGTGGTGGCAGGCTGCTACACGTAGGCATCTCCCTGAGTTCGATAGAAACAAGGTTTATGAGGTGACGATAAATGCACATGAGCCAGCCTGGAAAGCTTGTACTGCTGTAACCTTGGAGGCACATGCTCTTCAAACCAGTTGGTGGCACTAGTTGTTCCAACAAATCTTTGTCCTCCAAAATTTGTTCCGCACGCTCAGTCGACCAAGCCAATGTTAACTCCGAGAGATTATGTTTGCCTGACAACTTAACTTTAGTTGCTTCTTCTAGAGACCTTACATTTTCAAGACAACGTATTCTTAACTCACTGACATGGGCGCCCTCGAGCAGAGGAAGATTGCTGCAACCATTGAACTCATCAGCACGAACCTTGAAGAGTGGTAATGTTTGTGAATAATTTACCAGGGAACTGGCCTGATCCAGCAGTTCATCCGAGCACCCATCCAGCAATAAAGTCTTCAGCCCAAGTGTACCTACACTCTCTGGTAGAGACTTAAGCCTAGAACATCCCGTAAGATCCAGTGTATGCAATCTTTTGAGGTTACCAAAACTTTCTGGAAGAGATGCAATACTAAAATTATGAGATAGGTCCAGGTGCTCCAGATTGGTAAGGCCACCGATCCCATAAGGGAAGACATAACTACTACCCCCGCCGTATCTGAATAAACTACTTAGGCCCAAGTACTTGAGATTGGTGAGGTTTGCCAAAACATATGATAAATCTTGAACACCAATATCAAATACCCGCACTACTGGAAACAGAGACTTTGCCGAGTGTAAATTTCTTTGCCGAGTGTCAAAAATCGGACACTCGGCAAAGATCTTCTTTGCCGAGTGCTGCACTCGGCAAAGAATTACACTCGACAAATATTTCTTTGCCGGCGCCCGCACTCGGCAAACACGAGCACTCGGCAAAGGACTTCTTTGCCGAGCGCCAAACTCTCGGCAAAATCTATACACTCGGCATAGGCTGCCCGTGAAAGCGGCGCCGTGCCACGTCCTTCTTCTTGCCGGCGCTGCGGTTAGGCACTCGGCAAATATTTTTTTTAATTTCTTTGCGAGTGCCCCGGATCTGGCGCTTTCGGCAAAGATTTTTTTTTTTTTTAAAATTCTTTGCGGCGTCTCGATCTGGCGGCTCGGCAAAAATTTTATTTTTAAAATACTTTGCGAGTGCTCACTGGGCGGCACTTTCGGCAAAGATTTTAAAATTTTTTTTAATTATTTCTTTGCGAGTGCTCTGTGTATGCACTTTCAAAAAAAAAAAAAAAAAAATTAAAACATTCTTTCTTAGAGTGCACGAGGCTGGCACTTTTATCAAAACACACTACTTAGAGTGCCATGCCCGACATTTCGGCAAAGTTTATTTTTTTTTTGTTTTTAAGCCTCTAATTTTTTTGTGTGCAGACTTTTTCAAAGCACCATATGAACTCCTAGTTACAATTTGAAGATTTTTGTGGCTTTTGTTATATTTAGTTACTTTATTTACGTTTACTTGAATTTTCGTGAAATTAGAAATTTGGGCTGCATTAATACGAATAATGGACACTAATGATTAAAATTGATAGTCATGTTAGTGTGTCCATTATTCGTATCCGAGAGCAGACCGAAATTTCTATATCTCCACGAAACATGTCAAGTAAAAGTGTTTATAAATTCTAACAAATATAACAAAAGTCACAAAATCTTCAAATTGTAAGATAGTAAGTTCCCGGGTGCTTTAAAATGATAAAATTTGAAAGATTTAAAAATTGTCAGGTCAAAACAAAAACAGGACATCTGCCGAAAGTGATATACATGGCACATGTGGAGATATCATAGAAACATGGTCATCTGCCAAAGTGCACCGTGCACTCTAAAAGAATGTTTTAATTTTTTAATTCTTTTCTTGCCGAAAAGCGCATAAATACGTGAGCACTCCTAAAAGAAATAATTAAAAAAAATTAAATATTTGCCGAGTGCCGCCCAGGAGCACTCGCAAAGCAAAATATTTTAAAAAAAAATTTTCTTTTGTGCCTCCACGATCCGATCCGAGACGCCGGCAAAGAATTTAAAAAACAGGGTTTTTGCCGAGTGCCGATCCGGGCACTCGCAAAGAAATTAAAACCGCCCGCTGCCGAAAGGCCGCCGATCCTGCCTCCCAGCCGATCGCGCTGAGCCTTTTGACCTGGCCGGCCTCTTGCCAGTACGCCCCCAGCGCGCACCGCCACGCTTAACCCACACCACCACCGCGCACGCCACACACATGCCATACCATGCTCGCCATACCGCCACACACATGCTCGCCCATACCTTCAGCCGCCACACATCTGCGCACACGCCTGCAGCGCCATACGCCGCGCACCCGCCACCGCGCCTGTGCGCCACCAGCCCACGCCCTGGCGGCGGCCGCCCTCGCCAGCGCCGCCACATGCGCCATCAGCCCACCGGCCGCTGCCATGCCCGACGCCCCTTCCCCACCATGCGCACGCGCCTGACCCGGCTGGCCTGCTGCCCCGACCGCGCCTTTTTCCGACCTTGCCCTGCCTCGGCACACCCGTGGACCACCATCACCGACGCCATCCGTGCTCGACCCCATCCCCGACTCCGCCCGATCCCGACGCCGCCCCCCTACCCGTCGCCCGTCGGTATGCCTTCTCACTTATTATTGTGGAGGTAGTGGTAGTTGTAGTAGTATTAGTTGTACTAGTGGCGTGATTAGTACAACTAGTGGTAGTATTAGTAGTAGAATTAGTGGTAGTAGTAGTAGTAGAAGTAGTGGTAGTAGTAGTACAAGTAGAGGTACTACTTGGATATATTCTTCTACATGGATTGATATCCAAACTACATGGCTTCTGTTGAGCCATATGTGCTTGTCGGCCATCGTGCCGTTGTTTTTTTGCTTGAGTTTTGAAACCTCACCGTGCGAGGGAGGTTCTCACGATTTTTTTTGTAAATAACAGATATTTTGTTCCATTTTGTAGAGAAGAGCCCGTCGAGTTGAGTCGGAGTTCTCGCCACCGTGTCGGTCTCACTTTGCACTGCGTCGTCTCGCCTTTGCACACCGACCCGCCACGGCCCCGCTAGCCCCGACTCCATCGCCACCCCTAGGTATAACCCCTCTTTTTATATCATTGTCGATCAATCGCGTAACCCGATTAGGCGTCTCCCGTTCGAAAGAGATACGGTTGGAGGTATGCGAGATCTTTGCATATCTATGACCGTATCTATTTCGGATTGTCCACGCTTTTGGACAGCCAGCGGATGCGTAGATGGGTTAGTTTCCATGTTACGCTCTAGTCCGAAGATAGACTTTCGGCATCACCTCCCTGTTGTTCTCCGGATACACACTCTTCTTTGGTAGGGCGTGTATCCGGAGAACAGCCGGAGGTCTTGCCAAATTCTCGTCTCGGATAAAGTAGAGCATGGAACTAACCTCATCTACACATCTGCGGGTGGGATTAGGACCTATCCTCACCTATTAGACAGTAGGAACACCATGTACATGCAATTAATGGTTACATTACTCGCCGATACATATGTTAGAGGATGGATGACCGTCAGTGGATGTACACGGGCTGGAGAAGTCAGAGTGATTACACCACGGAATGGATGAACAAGACCGATGCTTTCTTGAACAGTGCATTTGGCAACGCTGCTAAAGGACATTGCCTAGTTTTGTGTCCCTGCAGCAAATGTGGAAACAGGAGAAGGGTAAACAAGGTGGAAATGGGTAAACATCTTGTGAAGAATGGATTTACGCCGGACTACACCCGGTGGGTCCACCATGGTGAAGCCCATCGTATGAGAGAGGAGGTGGTGAGACCACGGGTGGAGGCTTTTGATGCTGATGCCGGGGTAGCAGACATGTTAGATGACTTTCACCAAGGACAGTTCGATGAGGGACGTGAGAAGGAGGAGATGGAAGCAGCCGCACAGGCATTCTACGATATGATGGACTCGGCACAGAAACCCCTTCACGATTGGTCAACGGTGTCTCAAACGATGAAGATTATAACTTCAACCCAAACACATATGATGGAGAGTTCTATCAAGAAGAGGGGCTACAAGGGAGGTTTGACATAGACTTAACCGAAGAGATAGGAATGGAAGTAGATAATGAAAGGGATGATGACGAGGACGCTGGAGACGAGGTGCGAAATCTGAAGGATATACAAATGCTTGAGCGATTACATTTCGGCAATGACAATGAAGACAACATTCCTCCTTCGGATAGTGTTGATGAGTTGGACAATGTTGATAGTGATGACGAGACCTATGATCCATCTAATTTCAATCATGAAGATTATTTCTAATACATGTAATACTATATTTTTTGTAATTATGTTTTGTTCATTTTGCATATATTTCTAATACATGTAATACTATATTTTTGTAATTATGTTTTGTTTATTTTTGCACCTATTTCTAATTATGTCTTGTTTTTCTTTTTTATTGCAGGTGATTGAACAAAGATGGCGGGCGACCGTCATAGGTCTGTGAACTCGATTTACCAAAGACAACGCCGGTCGCAGGAGGGGGCGGAGGGGGCAGCAGAGAGATCGAACAGGAGGAGGAGGACCGCTAGCCGCAGGAGGGGGCCGTCTCTTCCCACGCCACGTGAGGAGGACCGCCAGCCGCAGGAGGAGGTGGCGCCCGTGGACGAGTCAGACGAGGAGTTGGTTCGGCAGACGGAGGAGGAGGAGGAGGAGGAGGAGGAGGGGGAGGCGGCAGGCACGGGTTCTGCTTCCTCCAACTCCTCTTCGAGTGTCTACTTGCGAGGTCCCGCGAGTCTCCCACAGGTTCCGCTTCGTCACCAATGCCCACTGATTCGCCCCGAAGGACAAAAGTAAGTAACTGTATATGTTATCACCACTACTTCATATGATATGATGAAAAAAACTAATAATTTTTCTTAATTACTCGTGCAGGAACTGGGTGGTTGTGTCGGGTGGTAGCGCACGGCTAGTCAACGGCATCCTGGGTCTTCTGTGCAGGCAGCACTTCCCCGGCATTGTCACGTCACGCGCCGAAGACGGAGCCGGCCTACTCGTTGACCACTACGTTGCCGCCTCCGATGCGGAGTACCCCAACAAGGCGGCGCGGGTGAAGGCGAGTTTTGGGTAAGTCTCCCTTGCACACAACATTGCTCAATACGTCGCATTCATTAGACTTTTCTTGAAATAATGAATCGATACATCGCTTTTGTATGCGCTTACTTATTACGAGATGTGAGGAGGATTTGAGGCCGTATGGAGCAAAGCGACTACCAAAGCTCAGTAAAAACTCGTCACCGACATGCATCACGAGGCGCATCCAGGCCATCGTAACCTACTACGGGTCGAGCTTGGAGAGGAAAACCAAGAAAGACGCAAGAGAGATGCAAATGACCGGGAGCAGTACCTTGAGGTAAATGAAGAACATCAACATTGATTCAATTTGAGATTAAGTTGGTTTAATTTGATCTTCTTATATGTCCAATACTTGATGACGTGTAGGTGATTCCCTGGTGGTGCCAAGCGTATCCCGAGTGTTGGGCGATGATGGTGGACAGGTGGTTCACGGAGGAGTACCTCAAGATGCATAGGGATGCCCGGGACCGTCGTTTACTGATGCAAGGTCCAGCACACCATCAAGGCAGCCGCAACCTCGCCGGATACAAACAAGCATGGGTACGCGAATTGATTTATCTATTGTCACGCTCAGTTCTGTCTGATTTCTAATCATCGTGCTGTCTTTCTCGCAGTCGGCGTCACATAGTGGCCAGGCTTGCTCGGACTTCCAGGCATGGTGTATGGCCCACAAGGGTAAGGCGACGTCCGACGTCTCCTTCAACCTGGAGGACCCGCCCGAGGCATACACGAACCCGAGCGTCCACTCTCGCATCAGTGAGTACACTGAGGTGGCGAGGTCGCTCCATGGGGCAGACCACGATCCGAGCACCCAGGACTTCGATGGAGAGGCCGTCATGAGGGCGGGGCAAGGCAAGAAGCATGGACGGTTCTGGCTTGGCGGCGGCGTCATCGACACGGCCTCTACTCCCTCTCTCTCCCAGATCCGAGCACGGAGCACGAGCGAGAGCCCGACCATTCGCTGCGGCCGGCCGATCACCGCGACAAGACCGGGTCGACGCACTCGAGGTTATTCCTGTTTTACTCGTCATACATTGATCTTTACACACCTTAATTAGCTTTGCATTACTGAAACATTGGAGTGAAATATTGCAGGCCCGGCTAGAACAAGAAATGAAGGAACGTCAGGAGCTGGGGGCCCAGTTGGAGGCCGAGCGGGCCGAGCGGCAGGCCCAGGCGCAGAGGCTGATGGACATTACGGATTTCCTACAAGGGCTTGGGCAACGTATGGGCTTGTCTCTGCCACCTGGGCTGTTGGTTCCACCTCCGCCTCCGCGTCCTGCAGCTGCAGCTACTCCTGTGAGTATCAAAGTTTTTTACTTTCACTTGTGCTTTGCTTGTATGGCCTCTATCGTCCTAGATTAGCTATCAAAATAATTTTGTCTCACATGCAATCTTTTCTCCTTTGTGCAGTCTCCATCTGACGGTGGTTCGAATAATCCACCTCATGCACCTACGAATGATGCACCTGGGCCTTCACCACAGTCGCAGTGGCCGAGATGAGTGCATGTTGTATTTTTTACATTTGTTGTTCACTTGGTGATGGACTTGTGATGCACTTGTGGACTTTGATGAACTTGTAAACTTATTTGGATGGACTTGAGCACTTATTATTACATATTGTGATGGATGTGTTATGGGCGGATGGATGTGTGGATGGATGAGATATATATGTGATGGATGAGATATATATGCGATGGATGAGATATATATGTGATGGATAAGATATATATGTGATATATGTTTGTATGAATGTATTTGTCATGATGGAACGCAAAAAAAAAAATTATTTGCCGTTTTGGGTCACTTTGCCGAGTGTTGCACTCGGCAAAGGACCCCTTTGCCGAGCGCAATGGTCAAAACACTCGGCAAAGCTGGCAAAATGGGCGACCAGAAAACAGATTTTCCAGCTTTGCCGAGTGCTATGACTATAACACTCGGCAAAGAAATTTAAAAAAAATTCAACTTTGCCGAGTGCACGGTGGTGGCACTCGCAAAAAAAATTTCAAAAAATAAAAAGCTCTTTGCCGAGTGTCTGCTGGGTTGACGCTTCGGCAAATAATTTTTAAAAAAAATCTTTGCCGAGTGCACGGAGGCTTGGCACTTTCAAAAGAAAATTTCCAAAAAAATAAAAGCTCTTTGCCGAAAGTGTCGCGGGTTGACGCTTTCGGCAAATAATTTTAAAAAAATAAAAAATCTTTGCCGAAAGTGCACGGAGGCTTGGCACTCGCAAAGAAAAAAATTTCAAAAAAAATAAAAGCTCTTTGCCGAGTGCCTTCGGGTTGGCGCTTTCGGCAAAGAATTTTTAAAAAAAAAGGCTTTGCCGAGTGCATGGAGGTTTGGCACTTTTCGGCAAAGAAAATTCTCAAAAAAAAAATAGAAGCTCTTTGCCGAGTGCCTCACGTGTTGGCACTTTCGGTAAAGAAAGTTTTAAAAAATTTAAAAAATCTTTGCCGAGTGCGGCAGGGTTGACACTCGGCAAAGTGACCGCCAACGGAACCGGCGCCGTGATTTGCGCTTTTTTTGCCGAGTGTTTCCGGGGCACTCGGCAAAGCCTTTGCCGAAAGTGCCCGATAAAATACACTCGGCGAGAGAGTGCTTTGCCGATCAATTTTTTGCCGTGTGTGCTTTGCCGAGTGCCACACTCGGCAAAGGCTTTGCCGAGTGCAATATAGCCTTTGCCGAGTGCCTCAGGCACTCGGCAAAGAACCTGAATCCAGTAGTGCCGTACCCCTGACATATTCAGGTGCTGTAGTGTGGTGAGGCCACGCACACCTCCCAGGTACCGCATGCTGGTGCAGCATGACAGATCTAGATGCAACAAATTTTGGAGCTTCATCAGTGACTCTGGAAGTTCTCTGATTTGGTCACAGGATGACATGTTTAAATATTGTAAATCCATGAGACTTCCAATAGCTTCTGGTAGCCGATCAAGGCATTCACAAGATGATAAGTCCAAATATTGGAGTTGTGTGAGGCCACACAACGGTTCAGGTATTGCTTTTACACTTGAGCATCCAGATAAGTCAAGATGCTGCAAATTCCTGAGCTTACCAAGCCAGTCTTCCAGTTCCCTTATCCCAGAACAGCCTGACATGTCAAGATGCACCATACATTTTAAGTCCCCAAATGATTCTGGCAGTTTCGATATACTAGAACAATCAGACAAACATAGATATTTCAGACATCCAAGCTTGCCAATTGATTCTGGCAGTGCAGAAATCTGAGAAGACCAATTTATGTTTAGGTACTGCAGTTTTCCTAGCACAGTGATACACTCCGGGAGACTCTCATTTTGCATTCTTGGAGCAATAAGACACCTCAGTTGCTTCAGTTTGCCAATTGAAGCTGGCAACAATATACCTGAGCATTCACTGAAATCCAAAATACGCAGACAGTTCGCAAATGAAAATGCACCACTCTGGATATGCAGTTTGCCACTATCTGAGAAGCGAAGTGCCCTAATCTTGGAAGGCAAAATACTTGCCAACTTTATTGTCTGGTCATAATTTTTTAGCAATGAATAGCGACAATATTTCTGGCCACGTGTATTTCTCTGCTGTGCGTTGAAATCTATTAGCTTGTCATCCATTGTCCATCTTGCCAGGTCGTGCACCAGGTCATGCATGGTGTACCACACCACTTGCTCTCGAGAAGTCTGAAAGGACAAGTATATAGCAATATTGATTAGAAATGTCAACTAATGCTCACATTTTATAAAGAGAAGTAAAGTCCAACGATCAGATGCAAATAAACTGCAAGGAAACCCTGTTTACTTATGAGAATGGAGAGAGGGAATTAAGTAATTTTTTTTAAAAAAGGTTGATATCCAATTACAAGTTGCACCGAATTATAGTACAATTCGTGTGCAGAATTTTTAGGATGTCCTTCTGAACAAGGTTCTGTTCAAAACTAATGTTTTTTGCAGTCTATGATATTTAATCTTCAATATCAATTATATCATAAATTAATCGGGCTTCATAATTATATATCCTAAGCTTGTAAGACAAAAGTCCAATCAAAGATATACACTAGGGACTACTAAGGATTGGAAGTATAAAATACAACGATGTGTACAAATTATTGTTTGTTAGCAGAGTAAGTAGAATACAACAATATGCAATTATGCAAGTATAAAATTTCTTCTTTGCATTATTAAGAAATTTTTTATATACAAATACAAAGAATGTAAACAGCTCCATTAATATGATTAAGAACATTAAGTTCTCCAAGAAGCGCTGCAGCTACATCCCAAATTGTTATGGTTGTTGGATTTACTAGTAAATATGCTCATTTATATGTTACTAGTGAAAAATAATTTTCTCACGTTCCAACCTATAAACATGCTCATATATTTGGCATTGAAGTATGGCTGAAAAGGCCAAAGAAACTTCGGTTTATGCCCTTTAGACCTTTGTTGGCCCGTTAGATTCTAAAAACAGGGCTGTGTTGAGTGTGGTTATAGTTTCCATACCACAGCCACCCATTGTTCACTGGTACAAAACAGAGCTTTACTCCCGGTGGGGAACTCCCTCTAGTCCCGTTCCCCACCCGGGAGTAAGCATCCGGGACTAAAGGGGGGTTCTTTAGTCCCGGGTCAGGAACCGGGACTAAAGGGGACTAAAGGTCCTCCCAGCTTTAAAAAAAATAATGCCTCCCACCGCTGCGTCCCGTGAGATTCGAACCCAAGACCCCATGCATTGCCTCGCGCGTAGCTTACCACCCCACCTACACAATACATCTAACAATGGATGTGATGCTTCCCTTTTGAACTAACCCATCAGGGGACCTTTAGTCCCGATTTGTGTTACCAACTGGGACTAAAGGGTCCTTTAGTCCGAGTTGTGTTACCAACCGGGACTAAAGGGTCCACCTTTAGTCCCGGTTTGTGTTACCAACCGGGACTAAAGGTTGATGACTTTTAGTCCCGGTTGGTGGCTCCAATCGGGAGTAAAGGTCCACCTTTAGTCCCGATTGGTGTCTACAACCGGGACTAAAGGTACTCTGCCACTGTGCCGAGCGCAGTAGCCGTTGGGCAGGGACCTTTAGTCCCGGTTGGAGACACCAACCGGGACTAAAGGTCTCTCTAGTCCCGGGCGCAAAAAATGCCGGGACTAGAGCCCATTTTAGCATCGGATGAAAGATCTGTTCTCTATTAGTGTTACAGAATGAACTGCCACCATTCGTGACTACTCCACACAGTGACAAATGCATAGCGTGTGTGTATATGCATAGCGGAGGAAGATAAGAACAATGTCATGGGATCATATAGTGTGCTCAGAGGTGGCGCACGAATTGAAGTCACTGTGAATAGGATCACCAGAATGTCCACCGAATGAAGAAGGATACACGAACTGGATTGTTTGGTGAATACAAGACATGTTCCCAGCGTGGTTTGAGAGGGACCCACAAAAGTACTTTTTTAAAAAAAAGACCCACAAAAGTACTTAGTGAAGTTACATGCTACTTTACATGATATTACCTATAACTATATTAAGAAAATCATTCAACTAATTATCTACTATGGGTTTTGCTATGGTACACCCAAGTAACTATGGACCGTTGATATGGATAGTTGTAATTACATATTACCTCCTGACAGTTAATAAGAGAACTGTACTTTGTTTCTTCAAAAAAGAGAACTATACTTTATTATTTTGAGAAATAGGAAGGTAAGCCAAATTTTAGGTAAAGTATCTATAAATTAGATCTAACATGCATGCAAACATGCAAAGGCATATATATGAATGTTTCTCAACATAACATGTAACGTTTTTTTAATTAATTGGTCTATGCCGATGGTTCCATACATACATGTCTTGTTTTTTCAACACATTGATCTATGTGGAGTTGTCATTTATCCCATGATGCTAAACTTGAGTTGTATTTTTTTGTTCAGTGTGACAAATATTGAGGTGTATTTTAGTTATTTACTTAAATTGAAACGTGAACGTGTTGGTATTTAAATTGTTTATTTATTTTACATGCTAGGCATGGGGTCTTGAACGTGAATTACTTGAACCAGGTCCAGCACAAGTGCTAGGCATAAGGGTGTACCTTAGCAAGGCCCATCAACTATATAGTGTATATGTTATGCATGCAACATGCCTATATGAAAGCATGACGTACAATAGGAATCAACATAGTTATAATCATCAGGAAAAAGTAGTGTTCCAGAAGTTGTATGTAGCATACCGAGGGCAACTTTGAAACATGAAGAAAGGACATTCCCAGAAGTTGCTTGATATATTCCTTTGCCTTTGATTGCTCCGTAAAATCTAGAGCAATCCACTGTTGAGCCAAATCATCTCCGACAATATTATGGCCTTTGGGGAATATGGAACAATAGGAAAAGCATACCCTGAGCTGTGGTGGCATCCTTTCATAACTTAATTTCAAGGATGGAAGCACATCATTGTCTTCAGAAGATATATTCCAGATATCACTGCTATTTATTTCAATCCATCCAGACAGATCATCTATTTTTTGTAGCATGGATCCAACTACTTGAGCTGCTAATGGCACACCTCCACATTTCTTTGCAATATCCAATCCTATTTGCTCCATATTTTCTTTGTTAGGTTTCAGTTCAAACCTGCTAGATCTCTTAATTATTTCCCAACATATATCATCTTCCAAAGGTCGTAGCTTGTATGGTTCACCGGTGGAAAGTTTCCTTGCAATCTGTTCCTTGCGTGTAGTTACTACGACATCTACCTTACTGCCCTTGACCTGAAGCATTCTTCTCAGTTTGTCCAACTCGGTCATCTTTTCCTCCCATAAGTCATCTAAAACAATCAGAACCTTCTTGCCTAGGAGTAGGTTTTCAAGGCATTGGTTTATCACCTGCTGTATTCCCATATTTTGTGGACCTCCTTCGCTTGGTAGTTGAGAAATGATAGAGCTTCCTATTTTGTTCAAATTGAAGTCTTGGGACACATAAACCCATATACGATGATCATACATTTTGAACTGGGCATCATTGTAAACTTGTTTTGCCAAAGTACTCTTACCCATACCTCCAAGGCCACAGATAGTGATAATCACTATCTCATCGTTGTTGGTATTTGCAGATAACAGCTTTATGATTTCTTGCTTTTCTCCATCCCTTCCAATCAATGGTTCTTCAGGCAAATATGATGTTGTTTCACGTTCATCATAAGGCTGCTCATTATTAGTATTACTGCCCTTTTTGATGTCAAAGATAGCAATTTGTTTTTCAATTTTCCTCAGTTTTTCTCTCAAACTCTTCATCCTATTAGCCATAGCAATCTTCTTGTATGCCACTGGGAGACATGAGAGAACTCCTGGCATCTGCAAGAGTTAGATTTAGTTCTTAGTAGGAGCCTACACTAAGCAAAGATGCATCAAATTGTATAAAATTATGATGAATATAACCAATTCAATAACCACAAACTGAAATAAGAACACGCTAGATACTTGAAATCTCATAGTAAAGAATGATCAAACTATAATATATCCCTACACACTGTCACACACAAATTAAGAAATATTGTTTTTGGATTCATATTTCTATTAAATATGAAAAAAATTGTTTGCATCAATAGCCAAGAACATCACTAGGGGACCATTCATATTACTTACACTCTTTGTTGGAAAATATAAAAATATCTACATGATCTGGGAGGTGACACCTTACCAATTTATTTAAAATATGTTCAAAATAAAGATAATTAAATGTTGTCAAAATTGTTTTTTCAATAATAGCTATAATGCAAGTATTTCCTTAAAATGTAAAACAAAGAAGATTGAGCAACTCAACCTTGAGGTAGAACACCACTACACAGGTGTCTCTTCAAGCCAGAAACGATATCTTAATAACTAATGAACAAACTGTAAGAACCGCTGTGCTAAAATCACAAAATGAGAACTTGCCTGTTTCTGATAAAAAATAAAATGACCAAAAAGATATCATATTATGTAAAATGATATCGGTCTTTATAAGATTTTTTCCATGCCACTATACAGCACATGTCACTGCATGAGTCATGCCTGCCACCATGACTATTTTATCCACTCGCCGGCTAAGCCATCGAGATCCATTAATGTCTCAACCACCTCAAGAAGCCTGTAGGAGCACTGCCCCTTTACAATGCTTCGATAGCGCTGCATAGGCACCATAGTACTGCATAGGCACCATGCCAACCTCTTTCACAGCGGTGCACCACAAATATTGATGTATGCTTCTTGTGGCCCTCCATTCAAAATGGTGATGTCCTAAGCATCACCTGGACCACCACCCTCTTGCACCCTCCTAGCATCCTCACCCTCTCATATGCCTGCACCATGGTCACTCTACTAGTAGACGAAAGTAGCTTGCCATGGTGCTCCACTAAACAAGACAAAACAAGGCCATGAAACATCATTTTACATACCTACTGTGATTTTTTAGCACACTCGGCTTCTTTCTCTTCGGAGCAAATTGGCCTCGTATCCCTAGGTCTCTTTCTCTATCTAAATCATCGCGTCCCATTATCCTCTTGTTTGACTGTCATGTGCGCAATTTCCAAATTGGACTTAAGGATCATTAGCAAGGACTTAAGGACCTCTAATTAGTAACGGTAGTTGGATTCTTCCAATTAATGGCAAGATGTTTCTGATTAATGTGGAAATTTCTAGCATTTATCTTTTTATCTAGCACTTCTGGTACGGTCATTTATGTTTTTTTCTGGCGCTTCTGGTGGGCATTAATGTGAAGGCTCCATTGAGGCCCCTAATTAGTAATAGTATTTATCCACTTTTTTCTAGCGCTTCTGGTGAGGTCATTTATTTTTTCCTGGCGCCTCTAGTGAGGATTAACGTGGGGTCTCCTTTGGAGCCTCTACTTAGTAATAGTATGATAATAATTGATACACTATTGGCAACTGGAATTACCTTGAGTGCTAGGATTTTCCTTGATAGCCAAAACAAAACCGCCAAGGAATACCACTTTGTTTAAATCATTTGATTTTTTATGCAAAGATTATACACCAAAACCATGGTGTCATGCAAGTTTGTACAATTTTCAAACAAAGTTTAGATATTCTAACAATTATTTTATAGTAATTTAGAGATAGAACCATGAATCATCCCTAGCAAACGAATGATTTTCTGGTCTAACGAATATAAGATATGTGTTAGAGCGAAACATACTTGGCGCCCTCAAGAAAACTACTTTCCTTGGTTCTTTTGGTTACAGTTGTAGCACCCCTGACGCATGCAACAACTTTGTAGTTGAGAAGCTTTTGATTTAAAATTCTTGTGTACCAAAATATTGTTTTAAGTTAAAAATATTTTAGAATTCAAAATTTAAAATTCTTAAACAACCTGGTCCATACCAAAGTTATAGAACTCAAAACAATATAAAACTTTATAGTTGAAATATTTTTTATTTGAAGTTGTTTTGAGTCCCAAATATGTATTTTAATTACTAAGATTTTGATATTCAAAATTTAGAATTCCCAAACGATCTTGAATGCTTACATGGTTAATACCAAAGTTATATTGCCCGATAACTCTGCAAGTTTGTTGTTGGTGAGGTTTTTATTTGAAGCTATTTCGAGTCTCAAATATTTGTTTCAAATTAACATCGTTTGAGATTCAAAATTTTGAAATTTTAAAACATGTCTCAGGTGGCGACACACCCTTTATCAAAATTACAGAGTTTGACAAGACCTAAAACTTGTAGTTGAAACTTTTCCATTTAAAATTATTTAAAAATGAAAATATTAAATATAAGATTACGAAATGTTGATAAACAGATGCTTGTCTATATGTAATTACAAATGAGTGAGTAGCCTAGTGGTACAGAAACATCATATGTGTTGAAGGTTCTAGGTTTGAACCTTCAAAAACACTAATTCTTTGACCATTTGACAGAAGCTGACACGGTATCCATCTCTAAACACTAGTACAAAAATGTTTTTTTATAGATGGTCAAAAACGATCTTTAGAGCCGGTTAACAAAATTGTTACTATGCCATCAACTGTAAAAATAAATTATTTTTGGAGACGGTTTTCTTAAGACAACGGACATTCAAAATCGATTTTCAGGATCAGTGGGCTTAAGTCAACCAACTCTAAAAATAATTTTTTTTGAATTTTTAAAAAATCATTTAGAAGTCTCTTAAAATTAAGAAAAAATAATATTACTAATAAAAGCTTAAAGGACCGACCACAGCCCACAAATTTTCTATTCACTAGTTGTGAACAACTGTAGCCACCAGGATTTGAGCCCACAGTCTCTCACCTCACGCATTCTATTCCTACCACAGCACCACACCACCACTTATTACTAGTTATGTGATGTTATCTATTTCTACTAATATGTACGAATTTTGTAATCAATATTTTGACGAATAAACAATGTTAAATGGGAAAATTTTCAAATACAAAGTTTTAGATCTCGTCGAGCACTACAACTTTAATATAAGGACATGTCTCCATCCAAAGTCATGTATATAGGCCCCTAAATGATATCGAATAAAAATATCGTCAACTACAAAGTTTTCAATCTGTTCGAGCTCTAATATTTAGATAAAAATTTTGTCTTCATCCGACTTCATTTGAAAAGTTATGAATTTATTTGTGCTATAGCTTTTTTGAAGGGAAAGTCAACCGCCCCCTAGAGATCATATTTTTAGGAGTAGTTCTCTTAAGCCAACGGTCCTTAAAAATAGATATATTTTCAGTGACAATTTACTTAATAGAACCACCCCTAAAAATGTATTTGTAGGGACGGTTTATAAGCTCAGTGCTCCCAAAGCTTGATACAAATGGTTTGCTAAGTAAACCGTCCTTAAAAGAAATAAGAGATGCCTATAAAAATCATTTCTATACTAGTGAAAATTTATTTTTGACCATGTCTCTATAAATCCTTTCTTTGGTATTGTAGCCCAGGTGGGTACCACAACACCATCCAAACGCATCTATCACAGGCAGAGTTGTAAACAGGCAAGTTTGCTTTAGTGTGCAAATCAAACAAGCCCGACGTACCTTAGCAGTTGTTTGGTCAGTTGTGTCTTGGTAGTCTTCGAGCATGTCAGAAATGTCTGAGGCGACATCCTTGAGCCGCTTCAGCCATAGCCGCACCAGTTTCTCCTTGACTGAACGCCTCTCGGCGTCCTCCAGCACAGCTGAGATGGTCTCAAAAACATCCATCATGTCCTCCAGGTCGACGCCGAAGTTCCACAGCATATTGGCTTGATCTGCGATGGCAGAGCCCAGCTTATCTTTCACGATACTAACGAAAGCGGACGCGAGCAGTCCAGCTACTACTTCCGCCATGGCTGCGGAGCTCTCAATGGCTCTCACAGGGTTTGTGTAGAATGGTGTGCGCAGGTCGTCTGCAACTGTGAGAAGGACAAAGGTGACGTACGATACTATGTAGGAGTAGTTAGTGGCATCACACTCAACCAGTTTAGTTGACTTAAGGCCATATTATTGGAGGAATCCTATATAAAAAAATTAGGGCTGACAACTGGGTACAGGACACACACACGTAGTATACACATTACATGTTTTGCAAGTAACCCGGTATACAAAAGTTTGATACAGCTGGCCACATGTGCAGCATCATCTGCATATTTTACACCGGCGAGGTCGATGCAAGTTGTATACAGCTAGCCACATGTGCAGCATGTTACCCTTGGATCATATCATATTACGGCATGATCATATCAATGCTTACCATTTATCCCAGTTTCACTTCCTCCAATGTTGAACCGTACGTGCTTCCCACCTCTTTTAATTTTCTGAGATAAAGTATTTGGTTAAGATTTCCGGACTCTGCTCACCAAGAAACACATAGCCATGATTGTATCAACTATTGGGGCTTTCTTCTTGTAGGGTTACTTGAATTCTGCATCTGTTCAGTCTTTCTTCCATCATTGAAGACGTTTTATGTGGTAATTCATGGAATCACAAACAGAATGAACAGAGAACAGCAAATTCGTTTGCAACTGATAAGAACAAATGAAAGCAGCCGGTCAAACAATCCTAAGATAGTTCTTCTCCAGAAAAGATTATGGCATCAGCAATAGGGAACCCCTTTTATAAGATCAGTCTCAGTGGGAGATTTCATTGTTTATATAATATTTATCGTGGAATTATAAATTATATAATACAATTTTGTCAATAAATAAATATATTAAATTATTAAAATAATTTGCAGCAACCAATATATTAGTTTTAAACTAAATTGGAAAATACTAAAATTAATTTAATCTTTATGTATTATTAATAATATTATATTAATATGAAATTTTATTTACAGATATACTATTAGACAGTTTCAATGCATCATTAGTAATATTAAAATTAAATAGTTATTCACTAGTCATAGAGAGAAAATTTTTAAATAGGTTCATTATACCTCGTTCTATATTTTACCGAATATGGATGTGGAATCAGAAAGGGAAAAATACTAAAAATCAAATCATATATATCCATTTAGCATCCATATGATAAATAGATATGAATACATATATCTATATTACAAGTTTTAGCAAATACAAATGTCGGATAATACAGATATCCATTTCCATTTTCCGTCCCTAGAGGCAAACAGCCATTCGTCAAAAAATTGACCACGTTGGCCTGAGCCTTGCAACTATATTCTACAAACATTATAAATAAATTACACAGATAGTGAAAATAATAAAAAATTGAGAGGATATTTGGATACCATGGGCTAATTGTTAGCTAGTTAATTTTGAGCTCAAATTAGTTCTAGTGCATCCAAACAGGAGGGTTAATAACTAGTCTATTTTTTTAACAGTCTTCAACTAGTTGTTAACCATCTACCTAACCAACCACAACTAATTTGGGCCAATTTTTCATCCCAACTAGTAACTTAACTAGTCAAGTATATCCTCAGCACAGGCTCTAATTACATACAGAAATTATAAATTACAATTTGCACATCCAAGCCGTGTCTAGCTGGAAGCCTTAATTGGGATCGCATCACCTTCATTTCTGGAATCTTCATCTTCAGATCTGGGTTCAGATCACGAATTCTGTTGAGAAAGTTGGCACCTCCACAGTGTGAGGTCAATCCTTGACTTTGCATTGTGAAGTCTCTACTATGTAGGCTCTAATTACATACAGAAATATAATGCCGGCCGGCATCTACTCTCGCGCCTCCGCTCATGACAAGCTGGAGTGCGTCCACAGGCACATCCCGCGTCTCCCGCCGCTTGGCTTGCCCACCCAGTAGGAGCACCTTCACATGCATGCGGCGTCAACCCGGAGCCCGTCCAACAGCGAGAAGCCGCATGCGGCGGCTCGGCTCACGGCCAGCCGGCGGTATCTGAGCCAGCGGTATCTGTTTCTTTTGAGAGCCCAAGGCATGCGCTTACTGCCTGCTGCACACTGGTTACACATGGACCACCAGTGAATAATCCATGTGAATTAGGCTTGGCAAGGTCGAGGAAAACAGCACCTCACCCCTGCCCGGATCGGAAATGTTATGAGAACGCTAGGGATGGAAGATGCATGAGGAGGACAGCTTCTATCCGTATTAGAGTTGAGAATATTCAGTACTCGAACGCAGTTGGGCCCTCGCTCCACTCCCCTTTCTCCTTCCACCCCGCGAGCAACACCCCAGCTTTCATGTACGCCAGATCTGCAGCCACCGCCGCCGCCGGGCCCCAGCCCTATGGCGTCGCCCATGGCGGCCACCTCCCTCACCCCGCCACCGCGGGCGCCGGTAGCCACCCCGCCAACGGCGAGCACGTTCCCCTCCCCTCCCCCGCCTTCCACCAACCCGGCCGCTCATCCCCTGCCTCACGCCATTGCCGGAGAAGCCGCCTCCACCGATGGAGTCGCCGGAGATGGCAGCTGCGCCAGAGAGGTCGCCGGAGGTGGCAGGCCCGCTGCACTAACGCCGCAGCCACCGCCAGCGATGGAGGGAGACGGTTCCTGTGCGGGCGGATCCACCACTGCCGGTGTTGGGGCTTCTGTGCCGTCAGGGTCCAAGACCATCTGTGGGCTCTCAGGAGGCTGCAGCAGCTTCTTCGGCCAGCCCCTCCCTCTCGTCGGCCACGGCGCCGTTCTACCTAAGCGGCTCACCAAGAGTACGCTCTATGTGCAGTCTTTGGGCGGATGACGCCAGCGCCATGGATTCCGATGACGACCAGCCTGCAGCGACCTACTTGGATCTTGTTCGCCGTCCGACGAAACCCTAGCCTCACCCAGCCGAGGATCCGGGCTGCTGTGGAGCGATGTAATACCCGGTTTTAAGGACAAAACCTGATGCACACCGTATGTGAGTCTTTAGAATCAAATCTCACATATAGCTACAAAAGAGGGGTGATAACAAATAACAATGCTTAATAACATAATGTACATAGTATAAAAGATATAACCTTAGGAACAATCAACGGATAAACAACTCCGATCTCCAGGTGTAGACTCTACTCCACTGGATCCAAACTGACTGGTTGATCACAAGCCTAACTCCTTTGAAAACTAGCAATCTGAACTTCGTCCTGAGGTGTGGGGGAAATTGCAAGAGTGAGTCCATGTCGAACTCAACAAATATAGCCAGGGCTTTATGAGGCTCAAAAAGCTGACGCTGGTTTACTACGGTTAACATTTAAGTAATCTTCAAGTTTAGAATTCATTAACATCAAGGTAGCAATAATCCCATAAACATGATCAATGAACATGAATAATTAATATCTTAAACAATTAACATAAATGATCATCTTAACAAGTAAAAGTCATTATCCCTTAATGTAAGTTTTCCAAGGTCGCTCGTATCCGTGAGCACGGCTAGTATACCAGTTTGTTAACTCTGCGCAGAGGTGTACACTTTCACTGTGAGTCATGCTTCCCAAATGAGTGGGTTAATTACTCCCAAAACACCGAAAACCATATAAAGCCACCCAAGAGCTCGTCTAACCGGCCAGGGCCGCAGGGTCATCAGATATAGGAACCCCCCTCCCAATATTATAAAAGGCCACCTCCATAGCTAAGCTCAACAGGACAGAGGCTGTCCTATACCCAACTCGCAGACCTCTAACCAGCTAGAAAAGGGTTTCTCAAGCAACTAGAACCAGAGCCATATAGCCCTCACAGCTGTACGTTAAATCCCGGATAATCAGTTACAAGACAAGTCCTTTTGTTGCTAAAAAGTCATCTTGTTTATGTTTATAGCATATTCATTAATCAAGTTTCAAGATCATGATTGTTGCACTAGCAATAGAACTACCCAATGCAAACCTCCCAGGGTGACAAGGTAATTGAGTATTCAAAATCTAGGAAATCCTACCATAGGTAGCAAGGAAGACACATGCATATGTATTTTAGTGAGCATCATGAATAGGACAACAAGGAAGGTCCTTAGCTATACTTGCCTTGATCAAAGCTCCTGAAGATCCTGTTGGTCTTGCTGGTCGTAGATGAACTCTTGATCACCAACGAAAACCTCACCGTCTATACTCGATCAACATCACCAAGCAGCAACATACAATCATCCGAGCAATCATACACGAGGCAAACAAATAGATGTAATTAGAACAGTACACCAACAGAGACAAACAGTTTTGAAAAGTTTATAAAACTATTCTATACGTTGCTACGATCACACAGACGCGAAGATCACGAAAAACGGAGCTAAAACGAGAGAGTTATGATTAAAACAAGTTTTCCTATTAAAGAAATAGATTAAATCTAAACTCGAATTTTAAAGTTCAAAAACATGGTGACAAATTATATGAACATGTAGATCTTGAAAAGATGAATCTAACGCAAGTTGAACGGGTCAATTTGGAGTTAAAATGAAGAAGTTATGAGCAATTAAAGACAGTGGCAAATCTGTAATTAGATAGAACTTTAATTTGAATCTGACAAATGAAAAATACGTTTTCCAGAGACGAAAGCGTAAACCAGGGAATACGCTTTGGACTGCGGGTTCAAAATCCAAAGAGGTCAGGGACTCTTTAGCAAATTTGCCACCCGAAGGGGTACGGGCCAATAAGGACCATCCAATCCAAGATCGACGACGCAGATTAGATCAAGGACGAAGCGGCGGCGCTCCAGACGGAGAAGAAAGGGATGGCAATGCCTGCCATTGCCGGCGGTGGCGGTTCTCGCTGGTGGATCTGAACCGGGCCCTACAGGCAGCGGTTCGACACAGGAGTTGCACCAATCGGTCGAGAAACTCGACGCGAACTCACCCGACGCGAAAACAGAGGCCGAGGCAGTTCAAGGAAGCGGCGCGGCATGACGTGGCGTACGGTGGCGGACTGCACACGATGACAATGCAGGGTGAGCAAAATTGG